GTTTTAATCAACTTGCTTTATAAACCATGAAGTGGTAAGTTAAAGGTGTCCTGATCATCCCTCTACCACCTTCTTTTAGCCTAATCAAAGTGACACGATGTGCCAATTTCCTCACCGACAACTATGGTTCATAGTTTATTTATTAATTTATTTATATTAAATAGCAGGCGTCGGGCTCCACAGAGGAGAAGGAACTTGAAAGTAAAAAAAGTCGAGTTGGGGGGGACGAGAATAGAAGAGCGTTTCAAAGATGTAAAAGAGACAGACACAAAGGTAGAAAAAAGGTAAGGTGAGTACTGTTGAAGGGGTCGAATATGGCACACAGTGGGGTCATGGTAGTTTGAAGTGAGAAGTCAACTGCCGGTTAATAGAATTTTTTGCCTTATGAGTATACGTTGCCCAGGGTGTAGTCACGTGGAGGTAAGTCTATCACACACCCCTATGGTTCATAGTAATTCTTTGTGTCTGTGTACTAGATTTTTGCCCAATACTAAGCTAAAAATTCACAAATTTCATCGCTTTTTTCACGGGAATGATAAACGTGGTATTAACCTTGTGGCGAAAGCTTTGATTCATCAGCACTTGTGTACAGTCATTAGCCATATCAAAGGTAGGCATCGAATAAGAAGGTCAGGAAAGAGCAACTTGCATACCAGACGATGGCATCAAGCGGCAATAAAGTAGAGGGGAAGGTTAATCGGCGTGAAAAGTTTGTCGGTGGATTCAGATCTGAGATTCAATCAACTTCCATTTCAACAAATCTCTTGAGTACTCCTGTTTTTATGAGTGACCCATCGACATACTTTATGGAGGCTGGCTTTCCGCTTGCTATGCTTCAGGTTATGCTCCTATCTTCACAATTGCAGAAATGATAGAACGTGGGCATTTAAAAGGGGGTGGGGTGGGGCGGGGCGGGGGGTGGGAGTGGGCGCATGCCTGTAATTCACATGGGACTTAATGGGGGGGGGAGTCCAAAGTCGGCTGTTTGGCCTCGATGAGTGAAAACTTCACACTTCTGCCCTCAAAAGGTGATGACGGCAAATATGACAGCAATAAGTCCGAGGTCACATGTGCAAAAGTGAATAGACGGGAAAGTTTTATCCTCGGAAAAGTTTACTCTTTTCAGTCATCTCTCGATTCTCCTTCGTCTGGATTGAAGGTGGTGAGGCGAGCTCTGTACTTGGTTGCTTAATTACTGCATTCAATTACCGTCTCTGATGTTGCCTGAGTAATACAGAAAGTAAGCAAGTGTGACTATCGCTCTGAGATTCACTGGTGCAGCACGAATTCCGGCTACCTAGATTGTTAAAGGAAAACGCATGAATATTTGTGCACGGTTTAGGCAACTCAAAATTCAACAATGCTTTCATCCGTCTCCTTATTAAAACGCGCGCGCGCGTGAGACGGAGTGTTTGTGGGAGAAAGCGCGCGAATCGAGACCCGAATTGCATCTTCTTCGGAGGTCAAGATGCCAGAATCAACTGCTGTGTTTTCATGTCATAATCTTTCGGGCCTAATTGAACATTCCTACTATCTCTATCTCTCTCTTTATGTGTATTTCATAATTTTAACATTTTACCCTCCTTTCTGTCTCAGTCATGTAATTTCTTACATAATTATATGTTCACAATACTGTTAATTTAATAGATGCAAAATGCGATATATATTTAATTATTTATGAACGATTCTAATCATTGCCAAGTATCTATTTCTGCAATTTATCGCCGTATGTGTAAATCCATACGAGAGATGCCTCGTCGTTATACTTAATGCTCACTTTTTTTGAGTTTTTCTTAACTTTTCATATTGTAATTGATTGCAGGAGATTTTGTTATGCTCAAGCGACGGGACACAAATTGAATGTACCATATGAGAGTCTTAACATTAAATAATGTTAAATAAACCACAATCAAATGGAGTTTTGCAGCCCTAAAGGCGCGCGTCGTGCATTAGAACAAGTATTTCGCAATGGCTATATCTCGCGCATAAAACAGCGGTTCTACTCTCTACCCACCTTGTGGGAAAACGCACAAGGCTTTATTGGAATTCCAAACCACGTTCTACTAATATGTCAGAGGGAAAGCACATTTCATTCACAGTTTATCCTTTATCATCCAACGTAAGTGCAACAGTGCCATTATTCCGCCTAATTGGCACATTTGGGGACTTCCTTGTTGAAAGTATTAATGGCTTACTCCTTGACGCTAGATTTGCGAACATGGCGAAGCGTCCAATTAAGAGGACAGTGGGAGATACCTCTACACGTTCAATAGAGGAAAGAAAGTTTTCTTCCACCATTTTAACCTTGTCTTCATCAGCTACTGCGGTTTTTTATCTCATTTCATTTGTGTTCAAATAACTCTTACTGGATATTAATTATCCGATTATCCAATTTGTTGATTTTGGATGCTTGAAAATCATAGCAGTTTTTGAACCCTATTTTATAAAAAAACATGATTATGAATGGATTAAAAAATAATTTAACTTGTGCCTTGAAGATTATTAATGTGTACATGCTGTTTAATAATCGATGCATCCACGGTCTACCCTATTCCGAAATTGACGGGTTCGATAAACTAAATTATTAAAAGTCAACCGAAATTCTGCCCGCACAAATTATTGAGCTTGCTGATACAAGCATGATCGAAGATATTACTATTTTATAGATAGGTAAAAACACCGCAACAATAGTTGATCCGTTCAAAAGGCAGAAAAACCGAGTGATCAAATTTATTTCTGAAATAACTCATGTTTTGACTGACAATAATGTCAGGAAGTTGGACGAATGAAAAAAACGGTGTATTCAGATAATGTAACTTACTTAATTATTTAATGATGGCTTCCATCCAGAACGAAGCTTCCTATATATATATATATATATAACTATTTTCTGACATTTTGTCATTCATTTGCTGCGTCTCTCCAATTGCTGATAGGGGAATTGCTTTAAAATCAAACAGCATCTGGTTATACATATTCGACTCATGTCTTACACATTAGCACTGGCATTCACGTCAAACTTGACAATTTCTTAAAGCGCTATCATTACCCGCAATGAAATGAAAATCTGGCTACCTTATACACAGGACCCTATTTCATTTGGTACTGAAATGGCGCAATTGGTGCTCCAAGTGGAATATTTGGTGCTACTGTTCGGCACTTCTTTCATCATAATCGGGAACGCAAAAAAATTAAATATATATTATAACATTCTGTGAGATGACCATTATCTACGCCTCCAGTAAAGTCTCATTGTTTGTCGGACTGATTGGCGGGGAAAATTTTGTCTTCTTAATACGTTTATTTGCACAATACATCCTTTTGCATTGTCCTTCAATACAAAGTTACACAACGATAACATTTCTGTCTTTTTTTCCAACCGCTCACTGCCCACAAATGCCCACAGATGGAGTAGATCCAAAATTTTTATTACTGGTTTGTTTGTAGACCGTAATTTAATTATACCCATTTCTTCATGCTGATTCAACCTTTCTGAGTGTTGCCACAACAAATAATTGAATTCCCGAATAACCGAGATCTCCAAAATGCAACTGACTAAGTACAACAGTTGTTGCTTAAAAGACTGTTCCGTTGCAGGCAAAATCTACAAAAAAGGCCTAAAGAGAGATGGGCTCTGCAGGTAAAGTTGAAGGCGAATACAAGACAAAATGTGGCTTTGTTGTTTGCATATTTGGTGGTTTTCGTGCGGAAAAATGTCACCAACTGCATCCATTGTGTGAGGTGGGTTAGAATGCTAATCGATGCGTTGAGCGGTGAACCAAATAAAGATCAATATTTTCATTCCATATGACAGAAAATGATAGTTTAAGTAAGCATCAATAAAGGGAGGTTTACTTGAATTTTTGCCTGAAATGATGGGAGAAGTCTGACACTCATATCCGTCATTGAGAGAGAGAACACTTTGGGTTGCATACATGGTATTGCTCCAGCCTCACGTATCCTAATTAACTATTCAAGATTAAAAATTTCAATGAACGAGTGACAATTTTCGTTCAATTTCATCCTCGAAACTAGCACATCTCATATATCATTGATGGATGGAATCACTTCAATCAACCCGAAGAAAAGAAAAACGAAGGTTGCGCATTGACAATAGGGTTAGTAAGCACTGAAAATGCATTGTTGGAGATGTTGTTTGGAAGTTTGACTTTGCTTGGGTGCATTCTAGTCAGAATCACCAAGTGCCGACGACCACATTCCTTGCAGACTCTGCAGCGGTCTATCTTTCAGACAGTTTGAAATAAAAATGATTTTTTTCTTTAAAATTTAAATAAGAAGTAAATTCCTTTCTTCTTTATTGTTATTGAAAAGTGGTTTAGGTCATGCGAAAAAATGTCCACTCTTGAATGTAGCAGTGCATTTGGGGAAGTCGTTTAAACCACTTTGTCACTTAAGAATTCCGTTTCTGAGGTGTATACAGGAATGAGTAGCTGGGCAAAAATTCTAGTAGGTCTCGATCTGAGAGCTGAACTTTGATTGAAAAAAATCAAATCTCTTTCAGTTCAACTTTGTCAGATTGACTGGCTACCATCTTAAATCGAACATTTCCGCATATGATTTTGTTTTGTTTTTCTTTTTTAAAACTAAAAATGCCTAACAATATATACCCTTGAATGCTTTCATTTAATGGAGAAAATGATTTTATAATGAAAAATATTTGTGATTTCAAGTACATGCAACCCATTCTGTCTTGTTGTTTATCACAATAGGAGCAACGTTATTAAAGTAAAGTGTAAGCTGTTGGACCAAATGTTACATGCTTAAAATGAGGTTGAATGATATGCTAAAAAGTTAATAATAAAAGTGGTTAACGAACTCTGCCATTAATTTAGTGCACTCCACTGAATCTTATCCACTAGCTCCCTGCATGTAAGCTTCCAGTAATTTTTCCCTTGGAAATCTAAAAATATACAACAATAAATGCAGTGTTTGTGATCGATATCCATTAAAAATAGAGTTATTCTATATGATTCTCCTTGGAACATGTCCCATCTCGAAGAGACAAAAGTCAGAAGTGAAATAAATGCTTTCAATGTTCCATATTAGAAATCGATCACACATGTGCGAATAATGCAGAGGTAAACTAATCGTGGCAAAGTGAGTGGAGGAATGGAAGCGTTAATGTAGTAGGGGAGTACACGGAGATGAAACGGATGGATTGGAATCAGGTTTTCTTAAACACGGAATACTTGTTAATAACGGCGTCTTGATCGATTGGGGAAAGGAGAGAGGGGGCATTGGTAAGCAGACTGAGTGTGACCACGACGGAAACCACCGTGAAAATCACCAGAACTAGTCGATCCATCACTGAAGCTGCATACTTCCATTCCTGAACAACCTTCAAGTTTCATATATTTAGGGTTAAATAATGGTCTTAATAGATCGTTTCTTTCATAAACGAAATCGATAATTAGAATGGAAACAATTGCAATTTCAGGCATATTATTATGCAATTTACAATTTATGTTCTGTTTCATTTTTTGTAAATTTATAGATTATTATAAAAGTCCTAGATTTATAATTTCACAAGTATGAGAGTTAGAGTCTACTCTTCTCTACCGAACGATTCTTAAAAACCAGCCTCTCCACAGTGGGTGCTTCATTTAACTTCAGTGCAATAGGTTCATTTTTTATCTTATTCAAGTATTTTATTATTTCCCAGATTGAATACTACGTGATACACCCTGGGCAATGTATACTCATAAGGCAAAAAGTCTAATAATCGGCAGCTGACTTCTGACTTCAAACTGCCATCACCCCACTGTATGTCACTTCTACAGTACTCATCTTACCCTTTTCTCTAACTTTATGCCTGTCTCTTGTACATCTTTGAAACACTTTTCTGTTCCCTCCCCCTCTCGAGTTTTTTCGCTTTGATGTTCCTTCCCCTCCCTGTGAAGCCTGAAGTCAGCTAAGGGCTAATGATAACTATCAAAATGCCTGCCATTTGATATAACTAATAAATTATTTCCCAGAATTAGTTATAATTTAAATTTGTTTCAATGTTTGCAGCAGGTGGAATTTCCGGTGATTATAATTATACTTTTTCCTAAAGTTCTTGATAATGACACGTATTTTAATTCGTTTTGACTTTGAAGAACAGATTTGATCATCAACTGTGACTCAGATCAAACACGATCTCCTAGACAATGCAAGTGTTTTGATGTAATTATGTGTTTAGAATAGTTCGATATCCGTGTCAAGGTCCTAGATAATGGCGCCCAAACATTGACCTACTTTTTGACATTCACGGAAAGACCCATTTTTCTCATGAAATGCGTTTCTTTAACAATTGAATTTACTTGATGCCGCAATATTCAAATACACGAGGACTCTTGTAGAGAGAGGTATGATTCCATTTTTTGCTCATAAACTAAGACTTTTCTGTACTCTTCCTTCTGTGTGACCTGATAAGACTTGGAACGAGTCCTCTTTCCCATTTCGCATTTTAAATTGTTTCCAAATTTCATGCCCCTCGGAAGTCTCTTAGATGCACCTTTTTATGTTGTTTATGGGAGGTGTTATTGGGAATTTATGGGAGTTGCGATTGTTTACTATTCGACTACTGCATAGATTAGTCAGCCGGTTTAATTAAATGGTGGCTCTTATCTAATGAATCTTAAGTAATGCCCTTATTTCTTTCAATTTAACTTTTCTTTAGTTCTTTTTCCAAAAGAACGCCTTGAACGCATCTTGCAGAAAGGATCTCTCAAGACAGATGAAATGAGTACCGCTGAGACCAAATTAAGTCCAATTTGGCCGAGTGGTTATAGCTATCTGCAGAAGAAGCCTCACGGTTGACGAGAGCTTGATCAAACTGACCATTTTTCAAGGGATTTGACTGGTTGTAGGCCACTCAAACCAGCCTAAAGTGAGGGCGTCAATTTAAACCACTCTATTGTCAATCATCGAAATCGCATTTCAAATGAATAACTTTGATTTAGAGGTTTATCAGCTACTTAAGATGCAATTTTCAGATGGGAACCACCAAATTGCTGCATATATCTACCTACTCACGCATCCATAATCACGTGATTTGATGAAAGTAGTTGGTGCCATGCCAACTTCTTTTAAAATTTTCACAAGTGTTTTATAGCCGATACTGTCGCTTATCGGTGATAGGTTTGGATTAAAAATGACTATTATTAATTCAATCTCTCATTGGAAAGGACTATTTTTAAGTTTAAAATGGAAATCCTGTGAGGAAATGTAAAATGTTCGAGAAAATTCGGAATTCGGCATTCCTCGAATGATGTCACTTCATTAACTCTGACATGCCTGACCCCGATCCAAACTTAAAAGCAATTAGCGTTGACATCAAATATGATTTTGAAAAACAGAACCCCTAAAAAACCTAGAAAGTTATTAAAATAAAATTAATTAATCGATTAATGTTAAAATTAGATATCCTACCACCCTGGCTTTTTCCTTTTTTTCCAGGCATTCAAAAATGTAGTCAATCGCTCTCACAGTTTCCGTCAGTGTAAATCCCCCCTCAATGTCACCCTTCTGTCCTACGGAACCGGCGTTCCCTTCTTGTCCAGCTGAACTCATTCCAATGCGACGCGGTGAATGCTTCCATCGTCTTAGTTTCAGGCCTCCGTAAAAAACGACCTCCTCTCTGCCGCTTAAAGATGTTGATGAGTCATCGTTTGTTTCGGAAACAGAACGCTGACCAAGAAGGGAGGATGAGCGATGTGCCGTTAAATTTTCATAAAAATGCTCCCTGTCAATGGTTGAAGCCGATTTCAAACTACTTCCTTCTGAATCGATGGATATTGAGGAGACCAGATCAAGAGACGTCCCTTCTGGAAACTCTTGTATGAACGCATCTTCGTTTTCGGAAGGGTATTTATTAATGACCATATAAGAGGAAGTAGAATTGAAATAATTTTCCTTGTTATTTAAATGTTCAAGACGGTGCATAAAGAGAAGACGTGGTAGGAAGTCCAAAAAGATTAATTTTGTCCACTTTGACATCGTATGAGTTCTCGGAGATCGATAATTCCAATTGACAACCAGAACGGACATGAACACAGCAAAGATGTCGGATACAAATGTGAACATTAGGTAACGAGATATCAAGGGAACTGTAGTGGAGGTAGGAGGTAAAATCTTGCTGACCAAAATCAGGAATACCACCAAAGCTACAACAATGCTTATTGCAAGGGTGACCTTCTCACCTGCATCCGAAGGCAGATAGAACACGAAGATGCTCAGCAGAGACAGCATAACACACGGCACAATCAAGTTCACCGTATAGAAGAGTGTCTTCCTTCGAAGCTTAATTGTGTACACGATGTAGGTATTGTTGATTTCTCCATTTGAGGTATTCACAATTCGAGCTGGAACATCGACCAAATCCCAAGTCCCACTTTCCCAGTAGTTGGATAGGTCCACGAATTCCAGAGAGGAATAAAATCCCATAGATACCTGAAAGAGGTAATAGTGATGATGATGAAAGGATGTGTAATTACCTCGTGCATCCAATTGCAGTTTGGCATAACCTTTGGAATAATAACGCAACGTGATGACACGCCTGACATTTAGAGCTGCGTAAGCAAAAGTTTGCAAGCATTAATTTCAACTGGGCAAAGTGAATGTTCGATGTCTCTAGACCTGAATTCATGAGTCATACGATCGTAAGCATGCCTTATGCCAATTACAAGTACCTCAAGCACTTCGCACTACCAGGTTTAATGCCGATTTTTTTTTTGAAGGAAACTTAATCTAATTACCCTCGAGAGGCGAAGATTTTCCCTAAATTGGGATGACCTAGCATGCAAAAAATAATGTAAAAAATTCGCACAACCTTGAGCAAAATAGAAAAATTTAAATTTGAGAAGAAACTTAATAAGCGCAGTCACTATGGCACGGCGATGTGGGGTGGATGTGGTTGAGCACGGGGATGTTTAGAACTTTGTCCGAGGGGGGTTGAACTTGTATGGAATGGGTGAGAGGCCTAGAATAGAGGTGTGGAGATACTTTTTGAATAAATGCAGGTACATTTTGGGGGTTTGATTTTGAGGAGACACTGATGGGCATAGCAGGTGATATGGAAAGCGTTATTTGATTAGGCCATGCATCAAGATGACGTTATGAGCTCAGGGTTGAGTTCAGGAATGACGTGCGCCCCAGTCACATAATTAAAATTATTTTAAAGAAGTCCTCTTTAGTACTAAGGGCTGTCATTGTGATCAGTTTTTTGCTTAATAGTAATAATAAGTCATAAACGTAACTTTAATTGAGGGAAAAGAACTATCATTATTTGAGATCAATAGTTAAAAGGACGTTTCGATCCGAATTACCTAACTGACATAATTAGGGCGGAAATAGAGATGGTAGTAAGTTATCTTTGTATTCTGCTCTCAGAATAACCTCATATACATTTTAAATAAGCCTATTTCCGACTACTTTTCCAATAATTCATTGTAGCAGAGCTTTTAACATGGGGAGCAACCGAATCGGAGATTGCTAGAAATAATTTTTATTCTACTCTCTAAAGCTCTCTCTCTCACGAGCGCGAATAGGGTGACATAAAGTGCACATGTCATTTCTTACGTACTTGTAAATTCCAATCAATCTTCTAAAGTGATTGTCATTCCTCCCTTGACAAGCTGCCAGTGCACAATGCACACAAACTTACACTCCCAGTCACTTGTCCAATTTATTTAAAGCATTCTCACATCCACACGAAGCATTGGTATTACAAAATGCATTCAATATTATATCCAAGGGCAGAAAAGATGTACAATTTCGTTTGTGATATTGATAGACGGGAGGAGGCGATTTCGCCTTCCTATCACCTCCATTTATGTTACTTAATTGCAACAGTTTGACTGCAAATAGGCCAAGACGATTTAATATTGAATTTCGTTGCAATTTGTAGGCATTTAGGGAGGGGGGGGAGGGTGTGGGATAGACTTACCTCCACGTGGTGCACCCTGGGCAACGTATACCCCTCATACGCCAAAAGTCTATTAAGTGGCAGTTGACTTCTCACTTCTAACTACCATGACCCCACTGTATGCCATATTCGACTAATTCACAGTACTCGCCTCACCTTTTCTCTGACTTTATATCTGTTTATTTTACATCTGAGAATCATTATTCTGTCCCCCCCCTCTCGACTTTTTTCACTTTGATGTTCCCCCTCTCCTCTGTGAAGCACGAAGTCAGCTAAAGGGCCAATGATAACTATCAAAACACCTGCCATTTGAAATAAATAAATATGTATTTATTGCAAATTGAAATCAGATCGCGAAGGAGGAAATGATATGAGTTTTGATCCGGTCATAAAGGTAAATAGACATTCGATTTTTTCTCAAAAAAAAACAAATAGGAAAAATGCCTTACAAGTAAATGTCACAATCTATAGACCCATCAGAAAGATATCTGAGAGGTAAAGAATTATATTTTTGATTTAATGAGCCTCTTACACTCTTTTATTAAAGCCGTGTCGTGAAGACATCTAATTTAGACAACCCCTAAGAAGATTATGCAGCAGATATCTGTGAATATGAGAATCTTGAAATATCAGTTTTATTAACAGGACCTAATTTCATATACCGATATCAGAAAAAAATTCAAAAGTTTTATCTAAAATATGAGTTCTGCCTGAGTTGTGGATACAGTATTTTGCTCATTGTTACTCGGGGATGTTCAGCTTTGTCGCAATAAAACTTCAGCTAAGCCATTTTCACGCTCTTTGGCAAATATGCAGCATCACAATACATTCCCTCCTCTACCACTTCCTATTCACTTACCGATGGCATCTAAATGAGCACAGTTCAAGGCCGAAGAATTGCACTGCTATCTCAAGGTGTGCAAGTCTTCCTCAGATTGTCTCTTCGATCGATCACTTTATCGATCCTTACAAGTTGAAAGTTAGTTTGGGGCAGCGGCTGTCATCGGTCAATGGGGTTGTGAATTCAAACAACACTAACCCAAAAACGACTTGATTTACTACAATCTTCCTTATTGTGACTCATTTCTGTCTTTTACCTCCTCTTCGTGGTTAGCATCAATAATATCAACTAAGAATAGAGTTTAAATATAAAGAAATTAGACAACTTCTCAGTTTTATGGCATTTTCCTAGGGTATTTACAAAGTGACCTATTCTTGGCCTACTTTTGAATTGAATTTAAGTCAATTTAAGTCAGGGTTTAATGAACTCACCCTCGAAGCATCGAATGACCAACTTCCGAATTTCATTTCGCATTCCTGTTCGTCAAAAGGGAAGTATTCGACGTCGATTGCGCAGTAACTCTCATAAACCGCTGGAGGCATCCACAGAATGGATCCGTCGTGGTGCAATAGGAGATTCGGTTGCCAGAGCACTTCATAGTTGCCATCCGCACTATAATGCAAGCACAGGGGGTAATCAAGTAATGGCAAAAAAAATAATTGCATTCAAATATAAACAAATAATGAAAAGTTCATGGCTGCGTCGTCTTCTTCCTTGACGGCTAAAAACTCTCTCGCTGATACTTTTTGCGTCTTTCTCTTCCCAACTAGAGCCCTCCCCCCCCCCCCCCCCCCCCCCC